CCTTGAGCCTCCGGGAGGGCAAAAATGGCCTCCCCCGGGCTCTGGAGGCTCTCCGGAGGTCGGAAACGGGCCCGTTTCCGGCCTTTCTGAACTTCCGAGTGGCCCGTTTTTGCCCTTGGAAGGGCGGGGCTGGGGTGGGCGTGGCCAGCCAGTCGTTGCAACTAACAGTTTGGCGAACCAGATATAAAATTAACATCCGGTTCGCTAGAACCGGTGCAAACCGGTAGCAGCCCTAGGCAAAAAGGACCTATTTTTTTCCTTTTTAAGTCCATAGAAACGAGATAAACATTCAGAAGTGGATTTAAATAAACACCTCCCTGATTCGCCAGAGTACAGGTAGTCCTCGACTTATGACCTCAATTGAGTCCAATGTTTTTGTTACTAAAAGCGGGACAGTTATTACGTGCATTTTGCCCCATTTTATGACCTTTTTTTTGCCCCGGTTGTTACTTATCACTGCACTTGATAAGCGAGTAACACCGTCGTCCCAGTGAATCTGGCTTAATCGTTGACGTGGCTTGTCCGCAGGGTGAAAAAGGGGGTCATGTGACCTTAGGACACTGCGACTGTCATAAATACGAGTCTGTTGCCGAGCCTCTGGATTTTGATCATGTGACTATGGAGATTCTGCAACGGTCGTAAGTGACCAATGGTCGCCAGTCAACTTTTTTTCAACCCCTTTGTCACTAAACAAATCGTTGCAAAGTTGAGGTCTACCTGTACGCAAGCACTTTTTGGTTTTTGAACTCGATGCCCGGTGGTCTAAATTTGATATAAATGACAGATATTGACGAGAATGATAAATGACTGGAGCCTTTTTTGGAAACGGCTCTTTTAGAAGGCGAGGAATATTGGAAAAGTGAAATGTGAATGACGAGGAGGAGGAACTTGAGGAAGATCGGAGAAGGTGAAATAAAGGAATTAATTGCAGAATGCTTTCTTTCTTAACCAACCTGTGCCTTTTTAACGCTGAACATGTATTACATCAGTAGTGAACACTTAGTCAAAAGCTTCATCAGCCAGTGAAAATGTACAGTGTAGTAAAAATGTCTTTGTATTTCTCGATACATGTATGTTTCTAAAAATATATATATATATATATAACAGTTTCTGTAATGTTTACAGTTGTTCACTTTAGTGTTTCACTAGAAAAGTGATTTGTCGGTATGCATGAGATACATCCTTTTTCTTTTCTTTTTTCTTCCGGAAATCGGAAAAAAAAAAATCAAGTTTGGTGAGTGGATTTTGGTGCTGTATAATGAAGTTTTCTTTGGAACACTCTGAAACTTTTGGGAATTCCCATATTCTGTGGCAACGACCCCCCCTTTCATATTTATAACAGTTTCTAGAACTCGGATGTAATCCTGACGTCAAAAGTGCTTCCCTCTCTCACCTCTGGGAATTTATACCAGAAAATGTAGATCAATGCTTCCATTTTGTATTTTTTTATCGTTATTTTAAAATCCCCCTTTTTTTAAGCAAAGAAAAAGAAACAGGTACAGTTTGTTAAAACCTGTCGAAACATCAGGAATGGTCACTTCGAAGTTGATTCTCCATCCTGCATGGATGGATTAAAAACTGAATAAACATTTTCTTCCCCTGTAGAAAGATGCATGAAATCAGTTGTCTACTTGTGGGTTTTATTTTGTTTTCAAAGAGTGTGTATTTGGGGCGTAAAAATCCTTTTTTCTAAAAAGAATGGAGGAAAGTAAATCTTCGCATCCAGCCCTTTTTCTTGCGACAGGCACCAAAACAGCCTCAAAGTTTAGGGGGAAAAAAAATAAAAATAAGGTCAGGTCAGGAGGTCCAGCTGTTTCATGCTTCCTGTCTCCAGGTGTTCAAAGCCATGCGCAGAGTTGCGCCTGCACATACCTCAACAGATTCCCCTTTCCTAATTCCCAAGTGGTGTGGATGCAACAACAGGTAGTACTTGACTTACAACCACAACTGAACCCAAAATTTAAGTGAGACTTCCGTTAAGTGAGCTTGTCCCATTTTATGACCTTTCTTGACACAGTTGTTAAGTGAATCATAGCAGTTGTTAAGATAGAGATTGGACAACCATTTGCCTGGAATGGTGTATGGTCTCCTGCTTGAGCAGGGGGCTGGACTAGAAGACCTCCAAGGTCCCTTCCAGCTCCTGTTCTATTTTCTATTCTATTCTATATTCTGTCCTATCCTATCCTATTCAAAATCTATTCCATTTAATTCTATTTCTTCATTCGACTATTATTCTATACTATTCTATTTTCTGTTCTATTCTCTATTCTGTCCTATCATATCCGAAATCTATTCCATTTAATTCCTATTTAATTCTATTCTATTCTATTCTATTCTATTCTATTCTATTCTATTCTATTCTATTCTATTCTATTCTGTCTTATTTCTATCCTATCCTATCCTGTCCAAAATCTATTCCATTCTATTCCCCATTGACTTTGCTTGTCAGAATGTCGCAAAAGGGGACCCCACAACCGTCATAAGTATGAATCCATTGTCAAGTGTCCAAATTTTGATCATGTGGCCATGGAGGATACTTTGGTTGAAAGTATGAAAAACGGTTTTAGGTCACTTTTTTCAGTACTGTTGTAACTTTGGTCACTAAATGAACTGTTGTAAGTCAAGGACTACCTACATTGGGGTTGTGACCAACACAAATGCTTCCCTAAGATCTAAGCCCATCTGATCCTGATGAAACTCGGATCTTTGGTTGAAGGAAATGTAGGTCATCCTTAAGAGATCAAGTTTGTGGTGAAAGTTGCACATAAACCAGATTGTATAAATTGCTCATACTGAGGAATTTTAAGAAATCTGCCATTTCAAATGTGCACAATGTCATTTTTTTCTCTTTTTTTTTCTTAAAAAAAAAACAAAAATTACTGGTTCAGGTTCAAGTAGTCTAAATATATAAATATATTTAAATATAAATAGATGTAAATAATTTTACGTGTAACAAAAAGCTGTATTTTCCATGATTGTGGTTTCTGTATTTATGTCACAGTGCCTCCTGTTTTTAAAATATTAACCACTCCTCTGTGTTTGTTGAACAGCTATTTCCAATAGCTTAAAATCGTGAATTTTCTGATATGCCAACCAAGGCAGTATGATAATAAAGCAACTAATTGTCAGCAAAACTTGCTGTCGTTTTTCTATTATCCCAGCAAAATCTCCGATTCAGTTTCTACAAGATGAAAGAGAATTGGCTAATAATATTGAATTATTATTGATTTGAGCAGTGCTTAATTCATTCTAGAGAACAGCAGGGGTCTTTTTGTTATGATCGCTTTGAAATAAGCAACCACACAGAATCTAAACAAGGCAGCCCCTTTATACTAGTAAAATTGAAGTGATAGGAAGGATCAAGCTAGCAATTTTATTTTACAAAAGACGACTCAAAAGGAGGAAATTATGAAATGCTGCTGTGATAACCTATATTTTATTCCAGTGATGCTGTAACTCTCTTAACAACCCTCCTTTGGTGCTGTCTTTGGGGAATGTCACTTTTGCACTGGGGGGAAAAAAACGTGGTTTTCTAGATAATTGCCAGCTGTTTCCAGTAGTAAAGATTGCAATATGTGGTATGTGATTTTATAACTTCATTTTGCCTGTTAATTACAGTGACCGTATGTCCTTGATTATAAAGTCCTTTATTTCAGAAAGCTTTTCCTTTAGATTTATTTATTCCCCAAAACTTCACTTTTGTCCTTTATTTGAGTTGTTTAACTTTTGCCATATAATTAGTACAGGTAGTCCTTGACTTAATGAGCACAATTGAGGTCAGAATCTGTGTTGCTAAGTGAGAAGTTTGTGAAGTGAGTTTTGCCCCATTTTACGACCTTTCTTGCCAAAGTTGTTAACGGAGTCATTGCAATTGTTCAGTTACTAAGATGGTTGTTCAGTGAATCTGGCTTCCCCGTTGATTTTCCGAAGGTCACAAAATGGGATCGTGTTGTTATATTGTTCGAAATCATAATTGTGTTCATTTCCAGTGTTGAGGGGTGAGTGTGAGCCCCGAAACTGAGTGAACTTTTCAACATCTGTAGAGGTGGATCCCTAAGCAGCCCAGGGGATACTTAAATTCAGTTAGTCCTCGTTTTGTTTAATGACAGTTGTCCCCATTTATATGTATTTACTCCCTTCGTTCTTGTTTATGTTGATACTTGTTATCTTGTACATGTTTGACAAATAAATAAATAAAATAAAATCAAGTTCTTCACACTTATGACCGTTGCAGCATCCCCATGGACACATGGATCAATATTTGGATGCTTGGCAACTGGTTCTTATTTATGACAGTTGCAGTGTCCTGGGGTCACGTGATCAGCTTTTGCAAACAAGCAAAATCAATGAGGTGATTAACTGTAGCAAAAAAGGTCGTAAAACTGGACAAAACTCACTTAAGGAATAGAATAGAATAACAGAGTTGGAAGGGACCTTGGAGTCCAACCCCCTGCCTAGGCAGGAAACCCTACACCACTTCAGACAAAGGGTTATCCAGCATCTTTTTAAAAACCTCCAATGTTGGAACATTCACAACTTCTGGAGGCAAGTAGTTCCACTGGTTAATTGTTCTAACTCAGGAAATTTCTCCTTAGTTCTAAGTTGCTTCTCTCGATTAGTTTCACTTTGTCTCACTTTGCAACAGAAATTTAGGGCTCAATTGTCGTTGTAGAGCTCACATAATGACGTCCTTCTGTTGGGTTAAAGCAAAATCTGGACAGAACATCAACAGGAAAATAACTAGGTATGAAATATAAGCACTCTGTTCTGCATACTTGGTTTGGAGGCATGAGGTAATAATTGGTCTCTGTCCAGTTTTTGAACATATTTCTGCAGATGGCCGACTCTTCCCTAGGGTCTTGTAAGGCGATGTCTACCAACTGAGTATGCTAATTTAAATTTATTAAATTGGTAGGAAAAAAAAACAAGCCACCTATATTAAAACATTAAAAACAAACTGCAGTTAGTTTATTATTATTATTTTTTTGACAGAGGTTGCAATTGACATTGCTGACAATGCTTTCACGTGAGCAACGACAAATAAATAGGATTTCTAGCACGACTTTTGTGTTACAACATCCAGTGGAAGAGACACACACACACCGAAAATGTGACCTGTTTCTTCAAAGATTTCTGAGCTGCATCCAAGATGTTTACATTTCGTTGCATGTTTTCAGAAATTGGCACATCTCCACATCAGCGGCCTTAACAAAACCCTGGAAAGTTTGCTGTTCAGCAGATGTCGCTGGCCTCACGGATACACACTTGAACACTTTGTGTTTTACATCGTATTTCCCCATGCATCTGTGGACGCGGCCTCTGATTAATCTTGGCAGCTCGCGATCCTTTTTTTTCAGAGAAGGATAAAAGCGTTATTTCCATAGTTTTCCCCCCAGGGGTGGGATTCTACTGGTTTGGACTAGTTCGGGCAAACCGGATGTTAAGCTTCCATCTGGTTCGTGGAACCGGCCCCGCCGATCCCTCCCCTCCCAGGAGTCTCCGTGCAGCCCATTTTCCATGCGGGTAAGTGCAGGGTCTGTGTGGAGGCTCTGGGAGGGGGAAAAAAATGGGCTTTTGCAGAATTCTGGAAACTGGCCTGTTTCCAGCTTCTGGTGGGCCTCCAGAGCCTGGGGGAGACTGTTTTCGCCCTCCCAGAGGCCTGCGGGAAACCTCAGGACCTTTGGGAAGGCGAAAAATGGCCCTTCCGGTTCGCCTTCCCAGGATCCAGAGGGGGAAGTCAAAAATGGCCTCCCCCAGGCTCTGGAGGCCCACCAGAAGCTGGAAACAGGCCCATTTCCGGTCTTCTGGGAATTCCTGTAGGCCACACCCAGCAACCGGGCCGCGAACCAGGTGCTGGGACTTTTGAATCCCATCCCTGTTTTTCCCCCTTAGTCCTTTCAGGTAGAAATGGCACCACCACACATGTCTTATTTATAGTTTACAACTTATAATGTCTTTTGATCACTTTTCAAAGATTTGTGGATAGATTTTTTTAATCGCAATGATAAAATTGACAAATTGCGAAATAAAGGTATTATTCACAACCTTGTAAAACAATCGATTTTTCCGAAGGATGACTTGGACAAAAGAACCGGCCAGAACCAACATGAATTGATTATACAGGCAGTCCTCAACTTACGACCGCAATTTGAGTCCAAAATTTCTGTTACTAAGCGAGACAGTTGTTAAGTGAGTTTTGCTCCATTTTACGACCTTTCGTCGTAATGATGAGGACATCATCGTGACGTTTACAACATTTCATCGTGAATCACTGTAGTTGCTAAGTAACACGGTTGTTAAATGAATCTGGCTTCCCTGTTGATTTTGCTTGTCAGAAGGTCGCAAAAGGGGATCATGTGACCCCGGGATGCTGCGAACTGTCATAAATATGAGTCAGTTGCCAAACATCCAAATTTGGATAAGGTAACCACGGGGATGCTGCAATGGTCATAAGTGTGAAAAATGGTTGTAAGTCAGAGGTGGTATTCAGCAGGTTCTGACCAGTTCTGGAGAACCGGTAGCAGAAATTTTGAGTAGTTCGGAGAACCGGCAAATCCCACCTCTGATTGGAGATTTTGCAGTATCCTTCCCCTGCCAAGCCCACCAAGCCACACCCACAGAACCGGTAGTAAAAAAATTTGAAACCCACCACTGTCGTAGGTCACTTTTTTCCAATTCCGTTGTAACTTTGAACAGTCACTAAATGAAAGGTTGTAAGTTGAGGACTACCTGTATTCATGTATTGGATTATAGTGTAGGTTGTCATGGATTCAGCATACCTAGTACATCCTGGATTAAAGATTATACAAATATATATATAGATAGATACTTACAATCTCGTAAAATACGCATGTCACGGTTTCTTTTCCATCTCTCAAAAGGAAAGTTTTTGACCCAAATTGTCCAGGGGTTACAGCAGAATCCAGAACACCTAAATAATGCAGCACCATTATTGGTCTGAAAGCTTTTCAGAGCGAAGACAAAGCCTCTTCTGTGGGTTTTGTAAGAAGACACATGATAATCTAGTAATGTTAGCCAGGATGTACGTCCAGATTGGGCACAGGTGAGGACTCAACTGTGGTCGTAAGTTGAGGACATATGGCCACAGTTGAGATATTAGCAGAGGGGAGGACTTGCCCAGGGCATGCATGCATGCTGACTGAACCCCGTACAAGGAGTCTCTTAGCTCAAGTACAACCGAACGCCTCCTATTTTGTGGTTCCCAAGAGATAAACAAATGTGGGGTCCTTAGTGCTCTCTAAGCTTGTTTTCTTGCAAATGTTTTATTACCTAACTAGGTAACATCATCAGTGGAGTGTTGTTTGCTGTCAGTTTATATTCTGGTGTCTTGCCTGTCTGTGCAGGTGGGGGCGGTCTTAGGGATTCTTTGCTTGGGCTGTTTATGGATGGCCCTTTGGCATTTTCTCAAATTGGGGTAGTGTTTGCGTGACTTGCTCTGATGTGAACCTGGGAGTTAGTAATCTCTGCTGATCTGGGTGCTGATTACTGGTGGAGTCCTCTCTCTCTCTCTCTTTTTGGGCTGGGTGATTGTCTCTTTTGCATAGTCTACAAATGTTGTTAATGTTTACGTGTCTGTTTGTCAGAGTGCCAGGCTTCTAGAAATTCCCTGGCATTTTTGGACTTGGACTTGGGTCTGGGATGGTGAACTTTTCCCAATTTGTCACTTTAGCAAGAGAAATTTTGGGGTCAGTTGTGGTCATATGTCAAGGACTATCTGTACAGAGAGGGGTTCTAGTGTAGTTTTTATTTAAGTAGAGTTTTTAACGATGGAAATTTGGATGCCTCCAGGAAATTCACTGTCATGGCAGACCGGTAATTGGTGAAGAGAAGCACTGGGGGGAGACAGGATAGCAGTGTTCCAATATTTGAGGGGCTGCCACAGAGAGGAGGAAGGGGTCAAGCTATTTTCCAAGGCACCTGAAGGCCAGACAATGAATAATGGATGGAAACTGATCAAGGAGTGAGATTCAACCTGGAAATAAGGAGAAATTTCCTGACAGTGAGAACAATCAACCCATGGAACAGAAGTTTCCTTCGGAAGTTGTGGGAGCTTCATCACTGGAGGCTTTTAGGAAGAGATTGGACTGCCATCCGTCATAAATGGTGTAGGGTCTTCTGCTTGGGCAGGGGGTTGGACTAGATGACCTACAAGGTCCCTTCCAACTCTGTTAATCTGAATCTGAATCTAATTGTGGATTTCTTTCCTGTAAATAATCTAACCTTTTCTTATCTCAGTTTCCCCACCCTGTTTTGACTCTAGGAAACTCAACATTTTGGGTGGTTTCAGAGAGGACAGCCCGCATTGCTTGTAAAATGCCTTTTATTCGAAATGCTGAATAGGTTGGCTGAAATATTTTAAAAGTAATTGGCTCCTTTGGGATGATAAGACCAATATTCTTGTATGGAAAACTGCCCCGACACTCTTACTATACTCACCCAGTACCTCAAACAACAGGGGAGTTTTATTAGAATACTGACTCCAGTGCTTCATGCTTTCGATGACAGCAGATAAAATTCGGAGAGAATTCTCTTTTTCCTTCACTTTCGAGTGGCCTGCTGGCCTTTTCTTTGGAACAGGGACAAAAAAAAAAAAGAAGAAGAAGACAGATAAGCCAAAGATTATTGCCTCATATTTTGAGTTTAAGTGAGAATGTTGCTATTTACATTTAGTCCTGAACTTACGAACACAATTGAGCCCCAAATTTGTTGTTAAGTGAGATATTTAAGTGAGTGTTGCCCCCTTTTGCGATCTTTCTTGCCACTGTCGTTAAACGAATTACTGCCGTTGTTAGTCACATGGTTGTTAAGTGAATCTGGCTGCCACAAAAGGGGATTTACATGACCCCGTGATGCTGCAACCGTCATATATGAACCAGTTGCCAAGCATCTGAATTTTGATCACATGATTATGGGGACGCTGTAAAAGCCAAAAAGTGTGGTAAAAGGGTCATAAGTCATGTTTTTTCAGTGCCGTTGTTAACTTTGAAGGGTCACTGAATGAACTATTGCAAGTCGAGGACTACCTATATAAGCCACCAAGTGTTTCAATTCAAGCCAGTCTTTTTCAGTTTTGGAAAATAAGCCGGTTTGGAAGGAGATTCACGAACATCCTTATTAAAAAATATGTGCATGCCTGAATCTTTTACCTGAATGGTTTTGTTGCTTTGCGCAGGGTCAGCTTTTTCCTTGCGGGTGTTTTGTGGGCCAGGGCTGGGTTTAAATGTGTAGCAGGGATCCTGAGTCTGCAGATTTCTCAGCCTGGCTGTTGGAACTGCAGGCCACTGGGAAGCAGCTGGATCCCAGTCTTCTGCCTCTTCTCTTCTGCTTCTCTGCGATGCCTGGGGCAGGCCAGCTGATTTCTGGTACATGGCCCCTGGCTTCATCCAAGGACTGGGATGGTCATCCAGTTGTGAAAGCTTTTTGTCCTCCGTTCTGCGGCCGAAAGCTGGGAAGTCATTTCTTTTCCAAACATTAGTACTTTCTTCCTGCCTGGAGTGAAATAAGGCTTTATTATCTCATCGGTCTTTCTACCTATCTACCTATTTATCTGCCCACCTATCCAGGGGTGGGCTTCAAATTTTTTAACCACCGGTTCTGTGGTCATGGCTTAGTTGGTGGGCGTGGCCCACTCAACATCACTCACATCGAGGCACCCATCTCCTCGCCTGGCCTCTCATGACTGTGGGGATGCTGCAATAAGTAAGTGTGAAAAATGGTCATAAGTCACTTTTTTCAGTGCCATTGTAACTTTGAATGGTCGCTCCATACAAGCAAAGGAGGGGAAAAAAAACTCCAGAGAGGTTCCTGAGACAGGAAGTCTCGTCCTGCCAAGAATGTAACAAGGGTTAATGGAGAGGCAGTTTCTGTAAGCAATACAACAGAAGTCCATTTAAGTCAAGCTTCTCTTCATTGCCACCTTTGGGGTGGGTTTCTGCCCCGAAAATTCGCAGTTATTTTATAATCCTAAGATTTCCGGGTGGCCTTCCATCCAAGAATTAACCAGAAAAGAAAAACAGAGTTATCGGAAGTCTTCTACTCCAACCCACTGCTCAGGCAGGAAACCCTGTACCATTTTAGATAAATGGTTGCCCAATCTTCTCTTAAAAACCTCCAGTGATGAAGCACCCAGAACTTCTAGAGACAAGTCACTCCACAGATTGATTGTTGCACTCGACCAGATGTTATAGGGTCTCCTGTTTGAGCAGGGGGTTGGACTAGAAGACCTCCAAGGTCCCTTCCAATTGTACTATTCTGTTATTCTGCTATCCCTCCCTCTCTCCCTTCCTTCCTTCCTTCCCACTGGAGGTTTTATAGAAGAGACTGGACAGCCACCTATCTGAAATTGTATAGGGTCTCCTGTTTGAGCAGGGGGTTGGACTAGATGACCTCCAAGATCCCTTCCAACTCTTGTTATTCTGTATTCTATAAATGCTAGGAAGACATCTCACTATTGGAATAATAAAGCAAAATGTTTTGATGACTATCTGTCCTGCACATACAACAGCTTCCTTATTTATTTATTTATTTATTTATTTATTTATTTATTTATTTATTTATTTATTTATTTATTTATTTAATATTGCCGCCTATTCGCCCATGGTGACTCGAGGCGGCTTACACAATGTAAAACCATATTTTAAAACAAAAAATAAAAATAAAAAAGCAATAAAAACTAACAAAAAGAATCAAATAAATTAGTAAAGTACAATAGAACAAAATTTGGGGGCGGGGGAAACCCCAACTCCCACCCCCCACCCCGAATATCAAAGCTCCTCAATATACAGATAGCCCTCGACTTACAACAGTCCATTTAGTGACCAAAGTTACATTGGCACTTATGACCGTGGCAACATCCCCATGATCACGTGATCCAAATTCAGACACTTGGCAACTGGCTCATACTTACAACGGTTGCATCGTCCCTTTTTGCAACCTTCTGACAAGCAAGTCAATGGGGAAGCCAGATTCACTTACCAACTGTGTTACTAATTTAACAACTGCAGTGATTCACTTGACAAATGTGGCGAGGAAAGTCGTTAAATGGGGCACAGCTCACTTAACAAATGTCTCACTTAGCAACAGAAATGTTGGGCTCAATTGTGGTTGTACCTCCATGATGATTTGTAAAAGGGGCTCCCAGGATGTTTGTTCGAAACTCATTCTGCTCTTTGCTGAATCCCCAAATATATTACAGTGCTCCTTGTCTTTATTCATATGGACAAGGGCTGCAAGGGGGTAGGGTAGTGATAGCACAGTGAACAAACCTGGCATGGAAATATAATCAAAGGGGAAGCAGGATTGAATTGCTCTGAGTTGGATGGCGACGACTGTACTGTGGGTTCAAATGCTCTGTGTCCATACCAAAAGCTCTCTCTCCCTCCTACCCACTTTGCAAGAATTTGTCTCCCTGTCATATCTAGCAAAAGGCCTGATCTGACAACTAGAAGCCATACCAAGAGCCACCCAGCCCAGATCGGACATAAAAGGATGCAGTTCCAAGAGCTCGGAAACGATGACCTCAACTGCGCATCGATGTGTATTTCGGAGAATGTTGTCACTCACCTCCGGTTCTTCGAGTTGCTTCCTGCTTGAGGCATTGTCGGCTTTGATGTGTGTTGTTGCCTGGACAAAGTAGCAAGCTCGGTTGGGCTTTGGAGAAAAGGTTTAATCGTTAAGTAGGAATGATGGAAGATTAAAACATTACAGAGAATATATGGGTAGTCCTTGACTTGCGACCACAATTTGAGCCCAAAATTTATGTTGCTGAGCAAGAGAGTTGCTAAGGGAGTTTTGCCCCATTTTACAATCCTCCTTGCTGTAGTTGTTAAGTTAAATTTCTGCAGTTGTTAAATTAGTAACACAATTGTTAAGTGAACTTGGCTTCCCCATTGAGGAATGCTACTCAGAAGTTGACAAAAGGGGATCACATGACCAGAGGTGGTTCTGACCAGTTCTGGAGAACCGAAAATGGAAATTTTGAGTCGTTTGGAGAACCAGCAAATACCACCTCTGACTGGCCCCGCCCCCATCTATTCTCTGCCTCCCATTGAGACCCAGCTAATAAGCTGGGTCTTCTTTTGTTGTCCTGCACAGGAGAATGGAGCTGGAAAGCAGGTTAGTGGGGTGGGAATGGAATGGAGATTTTGCAGTATCCTTGCCCTGCCACGCCCAACAAGCCATCCCCACCAAGCCACACCCACAGAACCAGTAGTAAAAAAAAATGAATCCCACCACTGCACATGACCACAGGACACTGCAGCCATCCTAAATACATGCTAGTTGCCAATTCGACCACAAGGATGCTGCAATGGTTGTAAGGATGAAAAATGGTCATAAGACATTTTTTTTCAGTGCCGTTATAACTTTGAATGGCCACTAAATGAATGGTTGTAAGTCAAGGACTATCTGTGGTCATATAGTATTGATTTCCATAACTGTGAAATATATTTGATTTCAGGAATATAAAGATGTAAAAGATGTGGGACCGACATACTTGGTGCCTACTGTTTTCTGCAGTTGGATCGATTCTGGCTTCTCAGTTTCCCATCCGAAATCTTGAAAAAAAAGTCAAAGGATATAGAATGATCAATTTGAATCAAAGTCCTGATCCAATTTGGGATATTAAGAAAGAAAACACGGAGTGTGTTAAGTTATTCCTTCTGAGTTGGTGCTCCTGAATTTTTGATTACCTAAGTTTTCAGGTAGTATTTCTTGATTTCATTAACTTTAAGATATGTCGACTTCCAATCCCAGAACTCCCTGTATGGCTAGCTGGGGAATTCTGGGAATTGAAGTCCACACATCTTAAAGCTGCTGAAGTTGCAAAAGGTTGCTTTAAGGGAATAGATCCATTGGTGGTGCCCCTGGTTTATGCTTTATTCTAACGCCTGCGCTGTGGTGACGCAGTGGTTAGAATGCAGTACTGCAGGCTACTTCTGTCAACTGCTGGCTGCCTGCAATTTGGCAGTTCGAATCTCACCAGGCTCAAGGTTGATTCAGCCTTCCAACCCCTTCTGAGGCTGGTAAAATGAGGACCCAGGTTGTTGGGGGCAATGTGCTGATTCTGTAAACTGCTTAGAGAGGGGTGGGAAAGCACTGTGAAACTGTATATAAGTCTAAGTTCTATTGCTATTTCCAAAAAGGCTTGTCTGCCATCAACATTTTGGCAGATTTATTCCTAAGTGATTCCTTTAATGCAGCTGCCTCCAATCTGAAGAGCTTCAAAGAAGATGTGACTGTAATTACGAGAATTCACAACCCAAAGAGAGGAACCACCTGGAGCCACGCCCACAGAACCGGTAGTAAAAAAAATTGAATCCCACACTGATCTGGAGGGGGTCTTGATGGGAAAGGATGGTCTACCTTTTAAAGGCCCCTTATGCAGGGGTGGGCCTCAGCCGCTTCACGCCAGTTTGGGAGAACCGGATGTTAATGTTATGTCCGGTTCGGCGAACCAGTAGTTGTGATGACCGACTGGCCCCACCCCACCCCATCCCGCTCCTCCTGGGAGTCCCCACACAGCCCGTTCTGGATCCCAGGTAACTGCCGGGGGCACGTGGAGCACAGGGAGGTGGAAAACGGGCCCTCCACAGCCTGTTTTCAGTGCCAGGATGGTGCAGGAGCCTAACGAGGCCACGCCCACCCAGCAAATGGGCAGAGAACTGGTTGTTAAATTATTTGAAGCCCACTACTGCCCTTATGACGGATCAAATTTAAACATCTGTATAATTCCCCATTCTCTATTGCTAGCCGTTCAATTCAATTCTACATTACCACAATAATATGATGCTAATCATTGCAGGAATTGGCTATGACGTCTAATCTAGTAAAAATAAAGACTAGGGGGGACATGTTAGCCACCTTCCAATATCTCAGGGGGCTGCCCCAAACAAGAAGGGGTCAAGTTATTCTCCAAAGCACCTGCAGGCAGGACAAGAAGCAATGGGTGGAAACTAATCAAGGAGAGATTCAACCTGGAAATAAGGAGAAATTTCCTAACAGTGAGAGCAGTTAATCAGTTTGCCTCCAGAAGTTGTGGGTGCTTCTTCACTGAAGGCTTTTAAGAAGAGACTGGACAATTATTTGTCTGGAATGGTACAGGGTCTCCTGTTCAAGCAGTGGATTCAACTAGAAGACCACCAACATCCCTTCCAACTCTGTTATACTGTATTTCATATTGTTTACCCCCAGTTTCTGGCAATCAGAAAAAAACAACCTGCTTGTAAATATGGCTAATAATTCATGATAGACCCAACCCTCTAAATAAAATATTTTATAAGATGATACTCGTATAATCTTTGAGTTCCAATTTTTATTCAAGGCATGGATGGGATATGAGTGAATGTCCCTCTGGAAAAAGCTGGGTTAGCAGTGATATTAAAGGTTATCCTATTATACATTTATATTTTTAAAATATACTTTTGTAGAGACACAAGGCAAATGCAAGGTGAGCACTTTTCACTTTTCCCATTCCCTCTCTTTCAATAAGAATAGAACTAATTATTATTCCAATAATTAATTCTGGCAGAAATGTGCAGAGACAGCTTTTCAAGCTGAAGAAAATGAGAAATATCTCTTTTGGCATTAATACAAAAGCACATTAAGGAATATTCCTTCCTGTGTAACATATAGACCTGAAATTTTAACTTTTAAAATGGGGGCGGGGGGGGGGGGGAGGTAAAGATACAAGAGATATCATTTAAATGCCAGTCTTCTGTGGAATTCATAAGGGATTCTGGTGTGTCCAGAAATTTTAACCAGAGGCTAGAAAAATATTTTTGGGTGGCAAAAGTACATTTTAAAAAGCGAACAGCCCACCACTTACGTACCTGCAAGCAAGGCTGAGAAATTGAAATGATCAGCTGAATTGTTACTGCTTGGCTCATGTTTAAGTGGATTTGACGTGAGTGGTTGTTTGGTCCTTTTTTTCTGATTGAAGAGTGGGATTGGAAGACAGCCTAAGATTTGAAGGGGCAACATAAGGCACAATTAATAAAATGCTAGTACTTTTGGTGCAGTAATATACGCAGGTAGTGCTTGGCTTGCAATGGTTCATTTAACGACCGTTCAAAGTTATAATGGCACTGAAAAAAGTGACTTATGACACTTTCCCACACTTATGAACGTGTCAGCATCCTCGTGTGGTCAACATTCAGACGCTTGGCAACTGACTCATAATTATGATGGTTGTAGTGTCCCAGGGTCATGCACCTCTACAGCGGTCTGCTTTGGTTCTGCATCCCAACAGGACAGACACAGACTCCAGAGAGTAATGAAGACTGCAGAAAAAACAATGGCTACCAACCTGCCCTCCAGCAAGGACCTGTATCCTGCACGAGTCAAAAAGAAGGCTGTGAAAATATCTACAGACCCCTCACATCCCGGACATGAACTGTTTCAACTCCCACCCTCAAAACGACACTATAGAGCACTGCACCCCAGAACAACTAGACACAAGGACAGTTTTTCCCCCGAACGCCATCACTCTGCTAAACAAATAATTTCCTCAACACTGTTCAACTATTTACAAAGTCTGCACTACTATTACTGTTAATCTTCTCATCGTTCAGACTTCCGGTTTGAGCTTCTTTGGCGACAGACAGAAATCCGTGATTGTGCGCGGTTTCGGTCTGGGCTATCTGCTGGAGTGCCCCGAGCTGGCTGGTTTCGGGGCTAAGCCACCCCATAGAGGTGGTGAAGAGGGGGGAGACTGCCAGCAGGGTTGAGGAGAGCTGCATCTCTCCTCCTCAGCGGGCCATTACTCCCTTTCCCGAAGGCGGTTGCAGTGGTGGTCAGAAATGGCCACCTCAAAGAAGAACTCAACCGGAAAAGAATGTGCAGGAGGAAGATAAGAAGTGAAAGTTCTGGCTGACTGGGTTAAATTGAAAAAGCAACAACTAAGGTACCCTGGAATTTAAACTTAAAAAAAAATAACATCGTTCCCAAAGAAGATTCTGAAGCAGCGAAGGAAAGGGAAAAGGGAAAGGTTTGGGGTTTTTTTCTTCTCTCCCTTTCCCCATACTGACAATTAAGAGACTTAAATAAGAAATTGGGGAAAAAATCCACTTTGACATCAACAGGCAATTAAACTGAAAATAAAATAAAATGTCAAAGGGATAATAAAGATTTCTGGATACTAAAAAAATTTTATAAGCAGGAAAGGCGAGAAAAAAGAATAAAAGGGCAGGATCTGGAAAAAAGTGAGGAGACTGCCTGGAATTAAAAGGAATCTACAGTAAAACTTCAACAAGACTTCTAAAAGATACATTTTAACAGAAACTTGGCAACTAAATAGTAGAACCCCAGGAAGAGAAAGTGAAAAAAAAGCAAGAAGAAACAGCCTGTGTGTATTTGGATTACTTGGTGATCTTTGGATTCTTGATTATTACACTTGAATGACTAAAATCAATCGGGTGGTTGTTTAAAAATTTATACAATGGCACCACTTCTGGATGAATTGAAAATGGAACTTAAAAAGTACAAAAAAGATGCACAAGAAGGGAGAGGTTCTTTTGGCTTCATTTTTCAATTCTTAGCAATGGAGATTTGGAACTACGAGAAACAACAAGAAACGTCTGCAAAACAAGAAGACTGGGACAAAGAAGAAGCCATCTTTAATGAACAAGTAATTCTATGTGGGGAAGAAAAAGGAAAGGGGGGAAAGAGAATGGAGAATTTAAGATTTAAAAAAACAATCTTCTCATCGTTCCCAGAGGTGGTATTCAACTGGTTCTGACCAGTTCTGGAGAACCAGTAGTGGAAATTTTGAGTAGTTCAGAGAACTGGCAAATACCACCTATGACTGGCTCCATGCCCATCTCTTCTCTGCCTCCCATTGAGTACCAGCTGATTGTCTGGGTCTTCTTTTGTTGCCCTGCACAGGAGAATGGAGCTGGAAAACAGGTTAGTGGGGTGGGGAGGGAATGGGATTTGGCAGTATCTGTCCCCTGCCATGCCCACCAAGGCCCTCCCACAGAACTGGTAATAAAAAAAATTTGAATCCCACCAATGGTCGTTCCTATCACCCATCCCCTCCCACTTGTGACTGCGTGACTGTAACTTTGTTGCTTGTATCCTTACGATTTATATTGACTGTTTTCTAGTATGATTTGATTGCCTATTTTTACCCTATGACTATCATTAAGTGTTGTACTTGATGATTCTTGACAAATGTATCTTTTCTTTTATGTACACTGTGAGCATATGCACCAAGACAAATTCCTTGTGTGTCTAACCACACTTGGCCAATAAAGAATTCATTCATTCATTCATTCATTCATTCATTCATTCATCATCATCACCTTTTGAGACCTTCTGACAAGCAAAGTCAATGGAGAAGCCAGATTCACTTAACAATGGTATTACCAACTTAACTGTGGTGATTCATTTAACAACTGTGGCAAGAAAGGTCACAAAATGGGACAAAATTCTCTTAACAACTGTCTTGCTTGCAACAAAAATTTTGGGCTCAATTGTGATCACAAGTTGGACACTAACTATATATTCAGAAGCACAAGCCTTGTATCCTAATATGCAATTTTCTTGAATGTGACAGGGGTGTGACCAGGGGCACACTGCAGCTCATTCATTGGAAAGAGGTGCATCCCTGTTTGGAGAACTGCTCCACATCTGGAATCTCATCCATTCAGGAGATAGAAAGGATCTGTACAGAACTCTTTATGTCATCTCATTAAAACCTTTGTTATCAGAATTAATTTGCTTACATGTGTCTGCCTAATTTATCATTCCTGTCTGACCTTGATCAAAGATGACTAAAGGATCCTCGCTCTGTGGAACTCTGGACCTCCCATGCTACCAATTCAATTTTATCAGTATTATTAATGTCTATTGAGAAGGTGTCCATTCTGATTATCCTTTTTGGCACTAGGCAAAAATCTCTTTCTTATCTGTCCAGGCATTTTCAACAGCCTCCATAATTATTCTCGCCACTGATTTATGCTTTGGTCAGGTTTTATTGGTGGTTGTGTTGCCCATTCGAGTTTATTGTATTGTTTTGTTGCTGATATTGTTGTAGTTGCTATTTTTATTATTCCCTTCAAGGTATCCTGGGAATTTGTGCTGAATATCCCCTCCTCCCATCAATCAACCAACACAAAGTGTATTTGTTTTTAAGGATTGCACAAAGAATAATCAAGAGAATTATCCCTGTCTGCAAATTTGTCTGATGGTCTGTGTATAAGAGGAAAATGAGGGGAGGGGAGAGATAAGGGTTGGTTGGAAGAAATGAGAAAAAAATTCTCGGTGAATTTTTCATAAAGGTTTATTATAATGGTTAAGGCTCTCCGTTTTTTAAGACCTTCCCTCCTGCTTTCTGGCATATTTTAATAGCCAAGGAAATATGATAGTTTGATGTTAATATTGATCAATGCGTGAAATCTACTCAGAGAACACTTCTTATTCCACCAATGAAAAATATGATAAAATAAGAATTGAGCCACATCGCTTTTCTGGATTACAGAGTCATGCTTGTAAGGGGAGTAAATTATGGCAGGGAATCCCCTAAGAGGTGTGGATGTGGATGTGTTAAAAAATGGTAAAATGGTGATGGAAGTCCCATTCCTCTTTTTATGTGTGTTGCAAAAAAAAGAGTCTGGGTTTTAATGATACAATCACACCTATCATTTTGACTTTTTGATGCTCCCTACAACTGGAGAGAGACTTAACACAATTTAAAAATCACGTGCAATGTATTTATCAGGATTTCTTCTCCCAAGGAAAATGGTATAGGGTGTCCTGCTTAAGCAGGGGGCTGGACTAGATTAGAAGACCTCTAAGGTGCATTCCAATTCTATTCTGTTCTGTTCCATTCTATTCCGTTCTACTCGGTTCTATTCCATTCTATTCTGTTCCTATTTCTATTCCATTCTATTCCATTCCATTTTA